GTAGTCCAGCCCCCTCCCACTAGCACCGCCCACCCGGTCCGGTCAGCAGGGCAGAACTGCTGGGGCTGGTGAGGTGGCCTCATTCCGGGTCCAGGCCCCTCCCACACTGGACTCGGGTCTCTGTCACCCCCCTCATTCAGACCAGTCTTAGATTCTAACCAAAGAGCCTCTGGCTCAGCCATGGTCCTACCAGGAAGGGAAGAAACTGAGGTATCCCTTGGTGAGACCTCAGGGGACACACCAGGATGACAGGCATGTGGCTGGGGGAGACTGGGACCAAGGCAGCCCCACCTCCCTCCTGGCTCCATCACCCTGGCCAGTCCCTGACTCCTCGCTCAGAGCTGCAGGCCGAGGGCACCTCTGAGCTGCTCTGGCTGGGCTGGGCATTGTGGACAGGGTCGTGACTCGGGGTTCTCCTAACCGCTCTGTGGGGCCAGAAGAGGAACCCAGGATGAGCTGCAGGGCGTGTCCTCCTGCGTCCCTGGGTGTTCTGCCTACAGGGGCCGACCAGAGCACTGCCCTGAACTCCTCCTCCAGACATCCGTCCCTCCTCACTCAGCTCGGCCTCCTCCGCCCTCCCTGCCTGCCAGGCTCTGAGCTGTTGCCCAAAGGCACTGACCTCAGAAGTGACCCCCAGCCCCAGTCCACTCTGGCCTTACAAGTACGAGGCCTCCTAGTGTGTTCCCGCTGGTGTGTTCTTCTTTCTCACTTCCTTGGCTGGGTTGAGCCCTGGAGCCTCTCGCTTGGGTGCACCACACCTAGCGTGCCGGCATGCCCAACTCCACCGAAAAGACCTCCTTGAACTGAGGGGCCAAGGCTGTTGGATTGGGTGGAGTACTGGACCCCAAGGCCTTTGCTCAGACACACTCCCTGAGCCCCCAACTGCCACCATGGCCAGTCCCAGGCCTATGGGTGTCTGTCCCCGCCCCCCAGGACACTCCCTTCCCAACGCTGTGCAATAGTGGAGCGTCCTTCCTGGTGGACTGGGCTGTGGGTGCTCAGCCCAGCCTCCTCTCTGTGCAAGTGCTATTTTGGGCAGGGGTCATCCGCAAAGGTGACATCGACAACCATGCACAAAGCCACCGCAGCTGCTGCCGCTCTGCCGCCTGTACAGAAGAAACGGGATCTTTTTCATACTCTAATAAATCAATGTGAGTTTTTGGTAGCGTTGGGGCCACTTCCTGGGGGCAAGGGGCTTGAGGAAGGAGAGTGGTCCGGGGCCTGAGCACGTGGGCAAAGGCTGGCACAGACATCAGGTTGTCAGGTGCTGGGGCAAGGCCTGCCGTGTGCCAGAGATGCGGGGGAGAATCCAGAGCAAGCAGGGCTCTCCCGCCCTGGGGAGCCCTTGGCCCCATGGAGGAGCAGCACCCACAAGTGTCCAGGAGACGTGGGAAGCCCAGTGCGTTCGAGTGGCAGCGAGGAGGCTTTACTGACAAGTGACTCTCTAGGAGGAGACTGGAGAGGGGCTGAGGTTAGCCAGGTCGGCCGGACAGCAGGCCAGGCAGCGATGGAACCTTGCAGTCCACGGACAAAGCCCGGTCCCTATGCTAGGGCAGGCGAGAGCACTGCAGCCCTTGTGTCATCCCGCCGCCGACATAACCCCGCCAGCCTGGGCTGGAGTGTCGGCTCAGTGCAGCACCTCCAGGAGCGGCCACCAGAGGGCAGCGGGGCCTTGGCGCACACCCGGCCAGCCTGGGCCCTGAGTGTGGGAGATCTGGGGTGGCAGGACCAGCAGGACAGGAGGGGTGGAGCACGCCATCCATATCTGTGGTAACCCTGGTCCATCAGGAAAGGGACAGTAGCTCTGAGGGACACTGGAGATGTCATCTGAGAACAGTTGGGGATCATCCTCAGAGGTGCGGGCAGGGTGATGGGAACCGGCAGGGATGGGACCAGTGGTGCTCAGACTGCAGAGTCTCCAGGGTCCCAGACCAGGAGGCGTAGGAGGAGGGATGTCCACGGGACAGAACACAGCGCTGCCAGGGCGTGGGGAGTGGGAGTGGGGCTAGGGTTCTCGCTTGTCTCTGTTGCTGCTCTCCTTGGCTGGCCCGGCAGAACCGGCTGGAGAAAGCCAGTGCAGCGTCATGGAGCTTGGCCCACATGGCCAGCTTACACGGCGGGGAGCAGGTGTGGAGGAGCCGGGTGCCAAGCAAAGCCAGGCCTCTGCCCCTGAGCTTTCATCACTGTTCCCGTGATTGCCAGGGAGAGAGCAGAGAGTGCACCTCTAAGTGGGCTGTGGCCACGCCATGGTCCCTCCCCCATCTCCACCCTGTCAGTATTCCTGGTGTGAACACACATGTGCTAGCATGTTCTTTGGTCTGCTGGCACCATGATTCAGGGACCCAGCACCTAGGGACAGACTTCTGTGCTGTCTCGAGTGCCAGCCCACAGGCTTTCCTTGTGTGGAAAACGCTGGCCCCATTCCTCGGTGGTTACAGAATTTCTGATCGGAAAGAGTTGTGGAAATAGGTCGTGGAGGGGTCTTACCACATCATGGGTGGACTTCTAAATGGCTAATTCTGTTCTGTGACCTTCAAGTTATTTATTTATTTTGAAGGAGGGGAAAAATTAAACCCTCAGCTCTGAGGAGAAAAGTGAAGTCTCATCACAGCCTACCCTGTCATCCTGCACACCCCTGTCAGCCTTCAGTCCTGTTCCCCTTGATCCTGATTTAAAATGTCATTGCCAAGCTCTTTAAATAAGACCACAGGGGGACCAGCAGTTGGCGTCATGGCTATGTCACTGGATTCCCATGTAGTTGACTGCGGTTCAAGTCTCAGACCCAGTGGCTTGCGCGTGTGTGTGCGTGCCCAAGATCCCGAGAGGAGAATGGAGGAGAAGAGGTTGCGACATGGCCATCCCCCCTGGGGGTGATTTCTCGCTTTCTATTTCTCTGTCTTTCTGGTGAGCGCACGTACCCTATAGCAAAAAAAACTCTCAAAAAAAGAAAAAAAAAAAGGCCACAGGGGGCCAGCAGGTGGCTTGGTAGTTAAGGTGTCTGATCCCACATGGCTGAGTCTCCCTGTCTCTCGGTCTCTCTCATCCTGTCCAGGAAGAGTCATCCCTCTCTCTATATATCTCTATCTCTTTTTTGGCAAGTGCTTGTGCCCTGTGGCAAAAACCTAAAACAAAACAAAATACACCAGGTGTGTGTGCGTGCCCAAAATCCAGAGAAGGGATTGCTCTGTGGCCATCCCCTAAGGGATGATTTCTCATTCTCTTTCTCTCTCTCTCTCTCTTTCTATAGGTGCCCTATAGAAAACTTTAAAAAATAAAAGAATAAAAAAGCCAAGGGACACAAGCAGCAACTGAGAACTGCTGCAGTGTCCCCCTGGGGCTGGCTACAGGCCATGGTGCCCCTACACCCTTCCCCCATCTGCCAGACTGGCTGACAGGCTCCTGTCCGCCCTGGCCCTATCTCCCGTGCTGCTCAGTCCTGTCAGGGTCTTGGTTTGCTGGGCTGCCCAGTTTCCCATGACTGTCCTTACTGGACAGGGAGACTGGTACCCCATGAGCCCCTGGGTCCCTGTCAGCTCGCTCCGGCACTCATGTCACAGGACTGACCCTCCTCCTGATAACCTAGCTCGCTGTCCTGATACAGCCAACCCCTTCCTGCCTTTGGTTCAGCAACATACAGAGCCCAACCGTTGGCGGACGTGGCACTTCCACACCTGTTCCCCGGAGGAAGCATCTCTCCTTCGGGCAGGAGGACCCCAGTCCTACTGAACTCAAAGTCGGGATAGCAAGCAAAAGCCCTTCATGATCATGCAGAGGAGCAGTGATAAGGGCCACTCATGTCTGGATGTTGGCCCCGATTAGGAGCCCTTGAGCAACCACTGTGGGCAGCCTCCTAGCCAGCACAGCCACTGCTTCTGCTGGTACCGCTGAGCCCAGCGTGTTCCGTGGGTGGACCCTTGCTTGCA